TGTACTTCCCGTCTAACTCGTTTTGGTTAAGTTTAAAGCACCCGGAAAATAGAGTCCTGCAGGGACTCCAAGTCGAATGGGGAGATTACTATGTCCTCGGGTAACGCGCTTTCATAACGATTATTCCATTGGGCCTGTTAGCACATCGTATCGTGCCTTTCCGAATGCCCGTCCGGGAAAAGTAGACACAATGAATCATCGAGCTCCACCGATTGCTGCCACTCTCTCAGGTGTCTTTCAGATATCACGATTAGTCAGCAGTCCCCTGGAATGCAGTCTTTCTTCTGAAACACACGCCTGTGCATTGCATATCGGAAACAATATCCGAAGACTTTTTGAGTCAGAAAATTGTTTAAAAATTGACGAAAAGACGAAATTAGAAGTGGAGTACTCGCCCCTTGCTATGACCCTCGGAGGCATGATTTTATGATGAAGACTGTGATTCACCCGAACCATAAGACTTACGGTCCTTTCTCCTGGGGATTGACAGGAATCCGTGTGGAGAAGACCCATACATTAATGATCTCATCGACGGGAAGAGAGGAATATTCACGTTTCGCATCACGTTTTGATGCATGGGATCCAGGGACGCGGAAAAAGAAAAACCCTATTGATCTCGAGGTGCACAGACCACATTTGGAAATCCAAAGTCCACCCGAATCACGATGGTTTCGTCGTCGCAGCAGTTTTTACCAGGAGTTTTGCCGGACTCTCGGACGATATCGTCGTCGTTCGATCCTCAGAGGATTCTCGCTGACACTGTGGAACTGAATGGCAAAATCAGAATCCATTCCGGCTGATTTCACGTCCAGGCTCCAGCGCACCCGGAACCTACTTTTCGATATCGATGAACCGTGTTCCACATTTCGTAGAGGTATACGAAAAGGAGAGATATTTTGGAAAATTCCCCAATGCAAAAGAATACGGAGGAAAAAGAACAACCGATGAACTTACTGCTACCGTGTCCATGACACATATTCACAAATTGGATCATGTTGGAAAAACCTGAGGATGACCTAGGCCCGTCTGTCATGGGTCGATCTCGTCCTTCAAGCATTTCCCCATCAAATTGAAACGATTTTTGTTTGATCGCTGCGGAGCTTCATACATGTCTTACCCAATAGTCTTCATTTTTCTCTTATCCTTCTTTTAACGATTTTTAAAAGTGCTTTTTCGCGCCTTTTTCTTCTTCTTTATCTTCTCTCACCTCATTTCATCCTTTTGCAATCAATCTTGTTGCTCTCGAGTCCGGGGACGCTCCCGGAAAGCGGAAGAATCGCTTCCTACTAACTTCTCCCCTTGAAGAGAAGACGGAACCATTCACGTTGCGCTTCACTTCCTGTTTTTTTTTTCTCAAAATCTTTATTTGTTGGGTTCATGTCCCATAACATCAATGAAAGACTGAATGTTAATAATATTTGTATGTATCCTGCCTTTTCTAGCTCAATGGAGTGTTCTAATATGATTTCCCCCCCCCCCCCCCCCCCCAGGGGGGGCCCCCCAGTTTTTTTTTTTTTTTTTCCCCCCCCCCCCCCCCCCAAGTAAGGGAGGTCACCCATGGCCCACGGGATAATGTACTACTATTGTGCTACTAAATTGCTAATGGGTAGTGAGCCACATGATTTGGGTGTTGCAATGAAAGAGAAATTTTCCATTTCGGCTTCATATGGTGTTGATCATTTTCCCTGAGGAAACACGCTCGACAGACACGAATGAATGGCCAAATGAGCCGGCGACGTATGGATTCTCCCATCGAACGGGCAATTTTTTCGAAGTCGCCGCGCCGAGGAACCCTAGGTCTAAGTGCGAAGTGGCAGCGTTGAGCTGTCACGAACGCAAAACGAAGACCGTAAGCAAAGCGGGACGAAGAATCATGCATGGTGGCAAGCAACTGTAGACTCACTGGTTTGGGACATCCATTGCTCTTTCGCCTTATTTCTCCTAGGAATTGAGAGATGCGAGAGTTTCGACATTCAATCGTGTTGGGAATCACATCGTTCGGTACTTCCATCGTGGATCTCAGACCGGCGTAGACGCAATCACTCACAGGCCTCTTGCGACGGCGGCAGATTACTATTTCACGATGAATGCCCATCGATCTAATTCCCACGGGGGTGGTAAGGGAAAAAAAATCATGAAGCATGGGAATTGCCAGCCAGGATGAGGCTCGAAGCGCATGGATATGGTTCGAGCATCGTTCTTGCTAGAAACGCTCATTCGTCCCATTTCGAACAGTTTCTTCTTGGAACAGGACCCCGACCGCCCCCCCCCCCCCCAAAAAAAAAGGAAATTTAATAGTAGCAATAAGTAATTTTCCAATTGCACGCGTAAATTCCAATGCGAAAGACTTTGTGAAACGTTGGTAATTCCGCAGGAAAATCGAATCGGAATATCCTCATCTCATCCTAACCCCACATCATCGTCCCTGGTAGATTAATTTTTTTTTATAATGACTATGTAAACGCCATCTCGTTTCTGACTGAAATATTGTTTGAGTAAATGGTACATGGGATGCTGGGTATTCAATCATCTTGTTCCGCAGCTTTTCACCTTAACGTGCTCAACTCATGGAACGACAGGAAGGCGCCCATATACTTTTTAAATTTTGCTTGTCGATTTCTGATTTTCATTCAGCTGTCTTCATTGAGTCGACTTGTAACGAAAGAAAAACCTTGATCGTTTCGTGGTCCGTCCTGCAACTGCGCGATCGCGTCTAAAGTTCCTGGTACAAAACCTGATATGACCTCATCGAAGCCTCCCGAAACGTCGATCGCATTAAATTGTCCCCCCCCCCCCGACCGCCCCCCCCGCCGGTCGACAATCGGGCGATAATAAGATGAAGACGCAATGTGCTCGTGACTCATCGGAGCGGATTCCGACTCCGTTTGGGAAAGCTGGGTCTGCAGGAATTGTGGTTCGATTCGTGTTAAGTACGTCTTTGCTCTTTCTTGTGCAGGGAAGAAAGAAAAGTCGAGAAATTGGAGCGGTAAATTTGGAGTTAAAAAGACCCAAATTAACGTTTTGCGATAAAATGCATAGTTCGGGACCTTTAGTATTCCTTCTTGTCATAGATTTCCCGCTTACAGAAAGAAATAAAAAGACGATAGTGAGTGACTGAGGGGAAAACTCAAACTCTCCTGAACCATGAAGATATGATACTAGCGACTTTGTTTGCCCGAAGGGCAAACAAACTCGCTATGGTCGTGCCTTCGGCGCTCCATTCGGATAGTGATTAATTAATTTATGTTTTTGCGGAATGGGAAACACGTATTTAAAGTACGTCCCCATACGGGTTTTTCTGAGGGAAGTTTAAATTTTCTGTCTCTTTTTGGAAAGGGGGGGGGGGGCGATCCTCCACCTCCGCCCCCCCTCCCCCTAAATCCGCCACTGGCTGGCCACGTGAGAAGACAGGGAGCAGCAAATCACCCCAAATTTTCTGGAAGGTCTGTCCTTGCGTTTCGTTAATCGCCACGGCAAAGAGGGGAACTGACACCGAACGGAAACGAAGAAGTTAACCCATTGATGAAGAAGTTAACTTACATCGTCGCTATGCAGGACAATGTCGTATGTGGGTTATTATTGTCGGCCTCACGCTGCTCTACGGACATCGCAACTCGCCGCGAACGTTTCCGAACGTTAGTGTTCTTTGCCCACACTACTTCAACCTATTACTATGGCTATGGGAGAGCACGCGCGTGCCTTCGACCACCACCACCACGGACCATAGTAGATTTCATTATGTCGATTTTATTAAATAGATGACATAAGATACAATATAACATCATCCATCGATGGAAATATTATTAGCCGCCATACCAATCGAAGAGTTTTCGATAACATTTTCATGAAAGCAAATTGGAGCAAATAATTTTTTTTTCCCTGAAGATGCAATTAACCGCGTTGAGCGTTTCTAGGCGGCTAGTCCACGAATTTTTCCAAATTCCCTGTGGCATTACATTGCTGCAGGAAAATCCCCTCGACCGCAGAGCCAAAAAGACTCATTCCATGCGTCTCCATCTTTGGAATGAATGAATCCCAGAGAATCTTCCTCATGCTTCTCATCCAGGAAACATTGGGTGCTACCTTCGACAACGTCATTCTGCTATGGAGGGCATTCGAATTCCAGAGGGAAATCCTCTCATCCGGGGCGGATGAGCAGCCAGTCGCAAAAAGAAACCAGAACGCATTCTGCCAATCATCCTCTCTACGGCCGTGAGGATGGATGTGTCGATCGAGCGTGAATGCGATTCACTCTCCGTGCAGACAGCTGGAGGTCATTCGGATCTGAAACGTTGACATGGGGGGGGGGGGGGGAAATGCAATTGCTCCCCTTAGATCCTCTGTGACGTTATGAAAACGTTGGGATCCCCGAACAAACAACGCGGGGGTGCAGATTCTCGTCGGTTTTTTTGTTGTCATTTTGTTTTATTTGGCTATTACATACTTTTTTTTCTGTCAAACATCTGTTTGATTTTCATCCTCATATGGCTCAACGAAAAAGAAAGAAAAAAAATCATTATTTACTTGAATTGAGCTCACAGCGATATTCGAGCCAGAGACACAGACAACTTCTTCGGTCCCGAATTTTGCCATACGGACTGAAAATGAATAACAAGTTAGGATACTTTCGAAAGTAGGACATGTGCCGAGAGAAAATCCTCTGCCCAATGATAGGAGAACTTCTCAAGCCCTCCCTCCTACGTCGATGTTCATGAAGGCGCTTAAGCGGATGCGACGTGATGTTATTGCCTTGATTGTGATTGTGCGCAAGAACTCGTTTCATGACTAGGTTTAGAAGTCGTGAATTTAGGAACTTTCATGTAACCGGATGATATTGTCTCTGAATTTTCATCGGACTGTGCTGCGAATTTCACGTTACACGAGTGCTGCGGGTGAAGACGAAAAAAAAAAAGAACCACTGCTATCGTCCGAGAGTTGGAGAGACCGCTGAACGACGGATTGATTACAGAGGCGGAGGAACGGACGGACAGATGGATGGTCTAACGGATGGAGGGAGGTGCCAGTCCGGCTTCCTTCACTTGGCCGCCCCAGTCAAGTCGATAGATCCCCGCTCGCCACTGGATCGCTGGGACGAACACGGCATACAGGTAGGGATACAACACGGAGCACTCCCGAAAAATCCAGCACGCGAGAAAATGAAACACATTCATCGGCATCACTCCTCCGTTGACGACGATCGTGAGAATCACGTCCAAGATTAGCCAAACGAGAACGTGAAGAACGTAGAAGGGTATAGGATCCCAGCCGAAGAGTTCCCGAGCGGCCCACGCCCCCAAGAGACCATTGACGAGACACTCGAAAAGAGGCTCCACGAAAACCTGATGAGGCTGTGTTGCGAACCTGATCTGAGTCCAACGCGCGATTCGAGCCAGAAATACAGATAACCGCTTCGATTCCAAATTTTGCCATACGGGCTGTGAAGAAATAACGAGTTTGTATCCTTTCGAAAGAACGGCAGAGGCCAGCACGTAATCTTCAGCCAGGTGATTCGAGAACTTCTCGAGTCCGCCAATTTCGGAAAGAACGCTCCTCCTCATCAAGGCGCTCATTCCGATGTGGCAATTGAACCCATGCATGGCAGCCGCGAGGTATATCCGTGCGCAGACGGTGCTGAAATAGACCTTCTCCAAGGCGTTCGTGAATCCCTCGCCGTCGCAGACCAACGGCAACTGATGCACGAGACCCACCCTGTCCGTCATGTGTTGTACCATGTCCATGAGAGTGTCCGCTTTTACCTTGACTCCCGCATCGGAAAAGAAGAAGAGATCGTATTTGGCCTCACGGTAGCCGGGGAACAAGTTGTTGATTTTCATGTTAGCTCCAACCCTTTCACCGCCGACGAACACTCGGCTGCGCACTTCCGGGTATTTTTTTCTCAGTCGCTCGACGATTTCCAAGCTGGGATCCCCGTCTTCGTGCATGCAAAACAGTATCTCGTAAATTGGGTAATTCATTGCGAAGAAAGTTTCAAGGTTGGACTCGAGATTGGGGTCCGCGCCGACGAGGGGTTTCAAGATGGACACCCCTGGCCAATTGCGAGTCGCGGCAGTCAACCTTCGCTTTCTGAAAAGCTTCCAGATTCCATAAAAGATAGCTGAAAAATGCATAAGGAACCAGTTCACGCTCCAGAAGGAGAAGAAAGAGACGGCGACGGCAAAGAGGATCACTTGGCACATGATGATTGGAGTAATTCGACTGATCTTCCTGAGTCGAGCGTTGCGTCCTCAATGTACATTAGCCGATTCTCTGCGGAGTTCCAAGGAGGAGGGTTCTTCTTCCCGTCATGATTGGCGTGTTTGTGGGAGTTGGTGAGGTCAGTGATGGTCTTCATTTCCCCCAACCCAGCAAAATCATCCAGCGGTGTCATCATGCTCTCCTTTTTTCATGTTCTTCCCTTTCCATACTGAGAAACTTGAAAGAGGAAACGCTAATAAATTTTCTGTTTCTCTCTCGTCACGCCATCTTCAGGAATGACCAGGTGACGAAAGTTGGCGCCGGACCTGTCAGGTCTCGGAGGCATCTTTTGCCGATTCCGTGCTTTCAGGGATTTCATAGACGTCATTTCGCGTAGACTGGGGAGGGGGGACCGGGGGGGGGGGGAAGCAAATCTTCCCATTTCACCTGCATAGGTGAAAACGGAGCATTAAGTAGCGCTTTGCGAATAGTTCAGAGCACCAAGTGGTAAAAACACCCCTCAGGTATTTAAGAAGGAGGCGAAAATTGATTGGGATTTTCCAAATTGAGTCAAAAAAGCGAGCGTAAAATGTGCAATGATACAACACTCAGACGAAAGGTTAAGATACGGCTGAAATTGTACGTAATTCGGCGAAGGATCAACAATAAAGAAATTTGGACCCTTCGTAATGAGCCGCATTTCAAGCGCATAAAAGACCACTCATCGGTTAACGAACTCATCTGGCTGTGCGCAATTGAACATCCGTTCCTCACCTCTACCTCCACCATGATCTCAATAATGTTTCAACTTGTAGTTTGAATTTTTTTTTTATTCAAACCGGAGTGCGGTAAGCAGAAGGCTTATCGTTCGACGCATAACACACAACATTGAATATGGAGTGCTGAAATGTTCGCACCGATTCCTTAGCAACGAATGATGAGCCCTTCTTATGGGGCTAAACTTGATCCTCGGTGAGTGCCTCAACTACACGAGAAAGATTCCTTATTAGCTACCCATGATAATTAATACAAATACTCTCCCCCTCGTGGTGGTTTCTCTTTGCCAAATACTTGCTAGTCGATGATGTTTCCTTCCTTAATAGATCTTCCGGGCCTATATCGCCTGGTGCCTGTCGATGTAGGCAACCGTAACTTACATGCTTGCGAAATCTGGTGCTTTGGTTTGGGATAGCTGTCAGATATATTGAGGTCTAAGCGTTAAGGGTTCCTTTCAGATTCGAAGTGCAGAGCCAGGCGAAAGAAACGAAGGGAAAGCGTTCTGGGAAAGCCACGGAGCAAAAGCGTCTAACTGAATCCCAAAACTTGAAGCGACTGCGAACGGAACAAGATGACGCTCCCCCTTAGTTGCTACCAATATGGACTAGTAATGTCGAGAATCGAGTTGGAAGCTTTCTCTGACCTTGGCAGTAACATTGCACAAGTCACATGCGTTAACTGCGGAGAAGACAGAAATCCATATTTGTCCCCCATCGGGTTGGTCGGTCGTTTTTTGCTCTTTCGAAAGTAAGACCTATGGATTCTCTAATCGTGGCACCAATCACCTTTCGGCAATTAAACTTGGCAGGAATTCGAATGAATGAGAGAAAAACTGAAGACGCCAGGATCGAGAGAAGCCAATAGTTTAATTTAGTGACTTTATTCCCAAACTATGTCGCGATATTACTTCAGGATAACTAGAAAGGGAAAACTATTTAATTCAAGCACAAATATTTTTTTTTGGCAAAGACGTTCGCATTCGCAATTCACATGGAAGGGCCTGGTATGTTCTCTATTAATAGAACCCGAAGAACTAGAAAGCCCTAGCATCTGTCTCTAGCATCTGGGTTGTAATTGTGGGTGGAATAAGCGGCGGCCTTATTCGCCCAAGGTTTACTTCTTTGTGCTGAAACTTTTATTTGAAAAATCATCCATTTCAATTCGTCAGGAGTCCACAATTGCCTAAAGAAGGGAAATTGGATTCACCCTGATTGCTTCTTAGTCACTACTCCTGTCACGTTGCCGGAAGCAACTGGCAGATGAGAATAGAATAGAAAACAGAGATGAATGCGTTGAAAGAGACTAATCAGTTAAACGTGGGTCCAGTGGAACAGGAACACTGCCTATTTTCCCCCATTGATTGCTTCAATAGCAATACTCCCGGTGAAGAAACTTCGACTTGAAAGGAGAAACTGTTTAGTTAAAGGACAAATATATTTTCACCAAAGATGTTCGCCATCACAATTTACATGCAAGGGCCTGGCATTTTCTCTATGATTAGAACCCTACAAATGAAGTTATATTTTTAAAATTGGCTTCAAGACCATATCTTCTGAGACGGCTCTCAGATGCAACTGGTATTTCGCAGAGAGATCGTGGAAAGACATTGGAATACATTGAAAAAAAAAATGTTTACATGGTGGGAAGAGGTAGAATGTGGTGATGCTGAAGAAAGTGAGACGAAAATCTTACATGCTAACATATCTACGCATCTGACAAGAAGCAGGACGTGACGAAGCGAAGAGGCAAAACGGAATGAGGCGAGACAGTAAGAATGTTACAGAACTCAACAAGAAAGTATTTTGAAGTAGACCTGTGTTTTTGCAATCTTAGTGTCTCGTGGTTAAACTTCTCATGCCAGAGTTCCAACCTTGGTCGATCGCAGAAACACTCAGGTTTGAGGCTAGGAGAAGATAGCGTCGCACCACGATCGGGTATTTCTAGGAACAGGAAGCGATCAATCTTTGCTTGAAGACTAAATCAATATCGGAGGAATGTACCTCTAGACTGGGTCTTCCCCCAGGTAGATTGAGGACAGCGTGTAAGCTGTAATCTATGTGGATATAGAACCTGGAGAGATATCCATCCTGTTCCAATTCCAACCAGTGGATGTTTCTTGTGCGCACCGACGAACATTTCGCAAGGTCATCGATAAGCGGAACTGTCGAAGGACAGCCAATTGACGGAAGGACAAACTGAAGGATGAGGGGGCGGACGGACGGGTGGACGAACAAATAGAGAGAGGTTATGTTGTGGCTTCCTTCACTCTACCATCCCAGCCAAGCCGATAGGTCACTGCTCGCCAGCGGATCGTAGGAACAAACACGGCATACAGGTAAGGATACATCATGGAGCATTCCCGAAAAATCCAGCATATGAGGAACTGAAATACGTTCATGGGCATGACTCCGTTGACGACGATCATGACGATCAAGTCCGAGATTAACCAGGTGAGAACGTGAAGAATATATGATAGAAGGGTATAGGATCCCAGCCGAAGAGCTCCCGAGCGGCCCACGCCCCCAAGAGACCATTGACAAGACACTCGAAAAGTGGCTCCACGAAAAAGAAAAGAGTATTATTCGCGTATCTAAATTGAGTCCAGCGCGATATTCGAGCTAGAAACACGGACAACCGTTTTGGCCCAGAATTTTGCCATACGGGCAGAGAAGATATAACGAGTGTGTATCCTTTCGAAAGTAGGGCAGAGGCCAGGAGGAAATCTTCTCCCAAATGATAGGAGAACTTCTCAAGTCCCCCAATTTCGCAAAGAACGCTCCTCCTCATCAAGGTAGGGGAAGTACCTAAGGACTGGAGACTAGCAAACGTCGTACCGATCTGTAAGAGGGGCGAAAACAGTAATCCAGGAAATTACAGGCCGGTAAGTCTCACGAGTATTCCAGGGAAGATCATGGAGAGCATACTAAGAGACCATCTCTTGGATTTCCTCGAAGGAAACGCGCTCATTCGGGACTCTCAACACGGCTTAAGAGGCATTGAAATTGTCCCACCAATTTGCTCGAATTCTACGACTGGGCGACGGAAGAGAGGGATGAGGGGAATCCCGTGGACATAATCTATTTAGATTTCGCGAAAACTTTCGATGCCGTTCCACACAAGAGGTTGCGGGTTAAACTGGAGGAGCACGGGATGCAGGGTAGGACGAGTGAGTGGATCGGTAGCTGGTTTGCAGGACGAGAACAACGGGTGATGATAAATGGGGAAGCGTCTAAGGAGGACAGGAGTCCCAAGCGGTGTCCCTCAAGGCGAGATCCTTGGACCGCTTCTGTTTTTGGTCAACATACGCGATGTGGATCTCGGCGTAGAGGGTAAGATAAGTAAATTTGCCGACGACACCAAGATAGGTTTTACCATAAGAGGGGAGGCGGATAGGGCTCGAGCCGAGCGAGATTTAAGTCTTTAGGACGAGTGGAGCAAGAAATGGTTCATGAGGATTAATAAAAGTAACTGTAAAGTTCTCCACATCGGTCGAAACAACGGTAGGTCTCTTGACACGTTCGGCGATGTTAAATTGGACGAGGCAAACGGAGAGAGGGATTTAGGAGTTTCTATCGACGAGGACCTCAAGTTTTCCTCGCACGCGCAAGCGACAGTGGCCAAATACAACAGAATTCTAGGTTACTTTCGTCGTTCGGTAGCAAGAAGGACATCGCGCGTTATTCTTCCGTTGTATGCGGCGCTGATATGACCCGAGTTGGAATATTGCATCCAGTCTCGAAAGTCTACAAATCAGGGCGATTTGTTGGCGCTCGAGGGATTACGGAGGAGGACCACAAGAATGATTACGGTGGTCAGGGGACTATCATACGAGAAGCGTTTAGAAGTGTTGGGACTGTAGTCGCTCGAACGAAGGTTAAGCAGGGGCGATTTTCATCCAGGCTTTCAAGATAATTACAGGAATAGATAATGTCGAGTGTGGTATGTTTTTCCAGTTTGATGTCAGCAAGAGAACGAGAGGTAACCAACTTAAGTTGCGCAAATCGCAGGTGCGGCTCAGGTTGAGACAAGAATTCTTTACTTTCAGAGTGGTGAACGCGAGGAATGCGTTAAATGACGAAGTAGTGGCTGCCCCTTCTATGACTATCTTTTAGAAGAAACTGGATGCTTTCATGGACAGGGAAAAAGTTGGGGGGCAATGTTGACGTTAGGTACTAGACATTAGCCAACTAGGATAGTCAAAAAAAACTAAACAAAAATACAAAAATAACATCTACCAGGAAAACACAATGACACGGCAAGGTGAATTTCCCTCTGTTGGGGGGATTTCCAGATCGTTTCTGTTATTTCCTCATTCACACAAATCTGCCAATCACGACGGGAAGAAGAACCATCCTCCTTGGAACTCCGCAGAGAGAGAATCTCAATATATTTTATGGAACAAAACCAATGTCAACGGCATGTAGTTTCAATACCATTCCTTCAACATTGCCAGGGTCCGGGTTGGAGTTTTCCTAATTTTTTTTGGCAAAACCTAATATTAGAAAGCTCCTCGAATTGCGAAATGTTCACTGCTAGACATCAGAGCGACTAGAAACACGAAACTTTGCACGTGGTGGGCACTAGTAGTAGTCTTCAGGGGCGTTACGGAAACTTCGTATGCAGGAAGCGCATAAAGAGATTTCAAATTCCACGTTTCTTCTGGCGATATATTCTGCTCTGCCTAGTTTGGGCACATTCCTCCGTTATCTGGAATCTTTGGAACCTTCGGAATATTTTGAAGTAACATGCAGATGAGAATGGAAACCGGAGATGAATGTATTAGAAGAAACAGACCAGTCAAACGTGGGTCCAGTGGAACAGGAACACGGCCTCTTTTTCCCCATTAATTGCTCCAATCGCAATCCTCCCGGCGAAGAAACTTCGACTTGAAAGGAAACACTGTTTGAAGCACAAATATATTTTCACCAAAGATGTTCGCCATCAAAATTTACATGCAAGGGCCTGGCCTTTTCTCTATGATTAGAACCCTACAAATGAAGTTATATTTTTAAAATTGGCTTCGAGACCATATCAATTGAGGCGGCTCTCAGATGCAACTGGTATTTCCCAGAGACATCGTGGAAAGACATTGGAATACATTTATAAAAAAATGTTTACATGATGGGAAGAGGTGGAATGTGGTGATGCCGAAGAAAGTGAGACGAAAATCTTATATGCTAACATATCTACGCATCTGAAAAGAAGCAGGACGTGACCAAGCGAAGAGGCAAAACGGAATAAGGTGCGACAGTGAGAATGTTGCAGAACTCAACCAGAAAGTATTTTGAAGTACACCTGTGTTTTTTCAATCTTAGTGTCCCATGGTTCAACTTCTCATGCCAGAGAGAGATATCCATCCTGTTCCAATTCCAACTAGTGGATGTTTCTTGTGCTCACCGACGTACGTTTCGCAAGGTCATCCGATAAGCGGAACTGTCGAAGGACCGCAAATTGACGGAAGGACAAACTGTGGGATGAGGGGGCGGACGGACAGGTGGACGAACAAATAGAGAGAGGTTATGTTGTGGATTCCTTCACTCTACCATCCCAGCCAAGTCGATAGGTCACTGCTCGCCAGCGGATCGTAGGAACAAACACGGCATACAGGTAAGGATACATCATGGAGCATTCCCGAAAAATCCAGCATACGAGGAACTGAAATACGTTCATGGGCATGACTCCGTTGACGACGATCATGACGATCAAGTCCGAGATGAACCAGGTGAGAACGTGAAGAATATAGAAGGGTATAGGATCCCAGCCGAAGAGCTCCCGAGCGGCCCACGCCCCCAAGAGACCATTGACGAGACACTCGAGAAGTGGCTCCACGAAAAAGAAAAGAGTATCATTCGCGTATCTAAATTGAGCCCAGCGCGATATTCGAGCTAGAAACACGGATAACCGCTTTGGCCCAGAATTTTGCCATACGGGCTGAGAAGATATAACGAGTGTGTATCCTTTCGAAAGTAGGGCAGAGGCCAGGAGGAAATCTTCTCCCAAATGATAGGAGAACTTCTCAAGTCCCCCAATTTCGCAAAGAACGCTCCTCCTCATCAAGGTGCTCATTCCGATGTGACAATTGATCCCAAGCATGGCAGCCGCGAGGTATGCCCGTGCGCAGATGGTGCTGAAATAGACCTTCTCCAAGGCATTGGTGAATCCCTCGCTGTCGCAGACCAACGGCAACTGATGCACTAGACCCACCCCGTCTGTCATATTTTGCACCATATCCATCAAAGTGTCCGGTTTCATCATGACCCCCGAGTCCGAGAAGAACAAGAGCTCGTATTTACTTTCACGGTAAGCAGGAAACAGGTTATTGATCTTCATGTTGACTCCGACCTTTTCTCCGCCGACGAACACTCGACTGGGCACATCTGGGTATTTTTTTCGCAATCGCTTGACGATCTCCATGCTGGGATCCCCGTCTTCGTGTATGCAAAACAGTATCTCGTAGATAGGGTAATTCATTGTGAAGAAAGTTTCAAGGTTGGTCTCGAGATTGGGGTCCGCACCGACGAGGGGCTTCAAGATGGACACCCCTGGCCAATTTCGAATTGTACTGGTCAACTTTCGTTTTCTGTGTAGCTTCCAGATTCCATAACAGATAGGTGAAAAATGCGTAACAAACCAGGTCACGCTCCAAAAGGATAAGAGAGAGACGGCGACGGTGAGGAGGATCGCTTGCCACATGTTGACTTTAGTAATTCGATTGATCTTCCTGAGTCGAGCGTTGCGTCCTCAATGTACATTGGCCGATTCTCTGCAGAGTTCTAAGGAGGATGGTTCTTCTTTCCGTCATGATTGGCAGATTTGTGTGAATGAGGAAATAACAAAAACGGTCTGGAAATACTTCCAACAGAGGGAAATTCACCTTGCGGTGTCATTGTGTTTTTCTGATGTTATTAAATTTCCCTTCTGGGAGACGTGAACGCGACTGTTATGTTTAGGTTGTATTCTCATACTTCAAGTCTTGGCGTTCTACTAATTCTCTTTCTCGAATTCTTCTTAGTAATCTTAGTATTTCTTGTTATATTTTCCTATAAGAGCATGAATTTACTTCAGAAATTTTGAAGCCCGTCACTCTTGGGGATGCAGATTAATAAGGGTCTCATTTTCATGGGAATTGAATTTCTCTCCCTTAAGAAAAGATCCTATAGCATCCGATGAGATTTTTGAAACATCAAAATCTCATAGTATTCTTATAGGAATCCCAGAGTTCCGTTAGGATCCTATAGGAATCCTATGCGATCCCTACAAGAATCCCATAGGATTTCTAGGAGATTTTTACATTTCAAAAATATTATAGGATCCTATAGGATGTTTTCGTAAGGGTTAGTAGTCATTTCTGAGAAATTTTCAAGAGGCGACCTAGAATCCTAATTACAGGAATGCACTTGTACAGTAGAACGAGACACATATGACATTTTGTATGGTATTTTTGGACGAATTTCGGACCTTTGAGTGAACAAATCGGCCCCTTAGAAGGTGGCGCCTGGAATGAAGAATAGGGTGAAGGTAGAGAAGGTCCAAGGCACGAAAATCTTCCTATCTCCTCTCCCAATTTAGCATCTGCGATGTCGCGTGTTTACAAACATTCTATATTATATATTGAAAGTTAATTTTTATGGATCTTGAGGCAATGTCGACATCAACAATGTCCATGTTGCACAGGAACGTTAAGTAGACGTTGCCTATATGTATATTTATCGACCTGGAAAAGTTGAGTAAACGTCGAGAGTATACAGGGTGGTCCGCTTAAATTGGGAATTCAGGGAATTTGGGATGTCTCGTTCCAGTACTCATCAATGAAGCACGGGTTCAACATGATTTTTTACCCCTGGATTCAACTGTTCATTAGCGACAATGATCACTCAAAATGACCGCCATCGGCCTCGATCACGGCTTCGATTCTCGATCGGAAGCGGTTGCAGGCGTTGATGAGGTGTTGCCGGTCGGTATTGGCGCACACGTCGACAATGGCGGCACGCAGAGAGTCAACGCTGTTGTGTGCGCGCTTGTTAGAC